AATGCTTTCAGGTATAAGGTGCTGTCTCACCCCTAAGAACTCTTGTATTTAATCTTATCTCTGTTTCCTTTCTGCCAGGCACCTGTCTCGGATGCTATGACAGAATATTAATGAACTGCAGTCTTATAAGCCTGAACATTCTCAAGGAATCTTAAAAAGACAGAAATTAAATGTTGGACCCTCCAGATCAGGGCTCATTTAAATGCCAGGATAAATATTTCTTTTTAAAATAATTTTTTGTATTAATCACAGGTTATTTACTTTGTATTCCAGCTGTAGCCCACCCCCCATTTCCTCTTAATCCCTCCCTCCCTCATCTCCTCCCTGCCCCTTTCCAAGTCCACTGATAACAGAGGTCCTCCTCCTCTTCCATCTGACCCTAGCTTATCAGGTATCTTCAGGACTGGCTGCAAAGTCCCTTCTCTGTGGCCTAGCAAGGCTGTTCCTCCCTCAGGGGGAGGTGATCAAAGAGCCAGCCATTGAGTTCATGTCAGAGACAGTCCCTGTTCCCCCTACTAGGGAACCCACTTGGATACTGAGCTACTATGGGCTACCTTCGAAGAGGGGTTCTAGGTTATATCCATACATGGTCTTTGGTTGGAGAAAGTCTCATAAAAGACCCCTACAGGATAAATATTTCAAACCCCAAAGAATCACTTCCAAATAAACTGCCATGTCCTATGTTAAAAGACACTCTACAAATCAAAGCAGGTGCTCATCAATAAGCTCCAAACACTAAAGCAGAGTACAGACACACAAGCAAAGGTAAGCATCCAAAAACAAATGCAGTACCAACAGTACTGAACACAGACTACCAAACCACCACAGCAGGCAATAGTGTATCAGAGCCTGACTAAGACACAACCCTCATTTAGAGCAGAATGAAAAACATATATATCAGAGACGAGATCACATCTGATGAGGGAAACAGCAACAACACAGAAACATTCAATGAGTAGAAACTTCCATTCAAGTTGAGGAAACTGAGTTCTCAACTAATGAATCATGTCATTACACAATTTTCCATAGTGAATTTCATATATGACAGTTCTGTACAAAGAAATACATTTCCAGAAAAATAAAGCCAATGCTTGCCAGCGCAAAGAAAGAGTGTACTGCTCTACAGCTTGCTTCTACAGACTGCTTTACACAGCAGCAGAATTTAATTAGAAACCAAGTGTGTGAGAGCAGTCCTGTGATTCCCAGCAGTCAGTGTAAGCAGGAGGGAAAAAAAGCTAAGTTCAACTCTGACTATAAGGTGAGTTCCAGCCAGCCTGGACTACAGGAGACCTTGTTGTTTTAAAGTTGAGTAAAGTTAATGAAGTTCAAAGAGCTCTTGAAATCACCTTATATGGTTACAATATGGTTATATTTCTGACCTATTAATTTCACTGCTAGGAATTGATCCTCAGGAAATAGAGAAGCAGCCAGTGATTTATATACCTAGCAATCCCCTAAGGTCCACCCTACAGAAATGTGTGCAAGTGCGCGCGCGCGCACACACACACACACACACACAGATATATATAGAAATATATATATTCATTTCACTTCATATGTGTATATATGTGTATGTATATATATATATATACACACATACGTATGTGTGTCCAAGACTTGTTTACACAACATAGTATTTAATAGCCAAAATCAAACCACTATCACCAATAGATTAGATAAAATGTTAAAATGCATTCAGCAGAATCTAATAAACCATAGCAAATAAATTAATTCCATGCATTAATATGAGGTCAATTAAGGCAGATTGTAAAAATAAGATGGTAAGTGAAAAAAACTACAAAAGAATTTGTACTGCGTGATTCTGCTTATATAAAATTCTGTATTATGCAAACAAAATTACATTATTTATGGGTACCTACTTAGCAGGTAAGACGCACTGGGAAAGCAAGGCAAGGAGTGGTTACTATGAGGGCAAATTATCGGTCCCTTTGGGGAGAAAGAAGGCTGTTTGGGTAGAGAGAGATTACATGGGTGTTTGTCTTAACTAGCATTTTGTTAACATTCATGTCTATGTTTCAGGTCCCTTCTCTGCATTACAGTTTTAACAAGGTTTTATTGAAAAGACTTTAGGGTAAAGGTATTCCTCAAGCTTTGTTTACAGTAACTCATTTAGTCAGGATTTAAGGGGAGGGTTTCAGGGTCAGGAGCCTTTGATGTGGAAGCTCAGGCTCAGAGACTATATGGTGACCTTGGGTAATACTTTCAGCATCTCTGAGACCCACCTATACTACACAGAACTGACACAGGAATCAAAGGAGAGAAAGCACATAGCACAGTACAGGATATACAGTAGGCATATACACCCCAGCTGTTCCTCTAGTCCTGCAGCAGTAACCCAGAGACAACCCATGTGAAAACACAGTTCCTGTGTACAGCACAGTTAAGGTAATAACTCTGGGGTCCACGCAGTGCCCATGCACTTGGCGAGACTAGACAGACAGTATTCTATATAAATACCGCTAAGTAACACTGCGGTGCTGGAAATGGCACACAGCCCTGCTCTTGCTGTCCCTGAGGGAGTCAAAAACTGTGCTGTGAACTGCCTGTGCCTCAGGAGCAGCCTGAGGAGGCAAGGGTACAAGCCCTGCAGAGGTGAGGAAAACAACCTCAGAGGTGAGGAGCTTTGGAGACCTTGTGCTCTAGATGAGAAGTCCTGACTTCCAAGTTGGAAACCACAAGCAGAGGGCTCAGTTAAGCCATGCTAATCCCTGACCTTTTGCAAAGGTGAGATAATAAATAATAGAAAGTTTGCTGACCCTACAGCCCTTTGAAAGGAATTGGTGAGTGAAGCCAAATTCTAATAAGGGAGCTTTAGAGCAGGAAGATCTTACCTCACAAACAGAGTCAGGAAGAAACACGTCCTGCCCTGCTCAGGATCAGCTAGCCAGGTGTCTCTGCCAAGCTCAGGGCTCCACCCAAGAAAGGAGACCCAGTGCCAGACAGCAGTTCTCAAACCCCTTTGTATTAAGTTAATTTTAGAATTATAATTTCAGTTAAAAATAGGTTCAGTCATGTTTTCTTGAGTTACTCTCAAATAACCTTGGTTGCATTTGCAGGCTTCAAGATTCATCTCCATTAAAAGATGATTTTTAGTTTCTCCTTTCTACTGATGGCAGATCTCACCTATTACAGTTGCAATTTCCCCAGTTCATTCTTACAGGGAAGGCATAATTCCCATTATCCTACAATGAATAAATACTGGTTCATTTTCTAACACTGGAGCACAAGATCTATAGACCAAAACCATTTGAGACACTGAACATGTAAAAACGTGGTTGGTGATATGCTATTTTTAGGAGAAATTTTCAAATGCTGATGCCTGAACACTCTATCTTGAAAGTTATAAAAGTCAGTGTTCTTTGAAAAGACAACTGAATGCCTGCTGTCTTTGATAGCCTCAGAATAAAATTCATCTGTCACAGCTTCCCTTCACTCTGGTCATTACATGGACTTGGGACCCCACATCTTGTCCACCTTGGGAAAAATAAGGTACAATAATGGAGGATGTCTTATCATCATAACCTAGGGGCAAATCTAAGTACCTGTGAGGGAGACAGCCAGCTATTTGTCATATGATGCACTGTGCATTACAAGTGCAAATCCTCTAGCCAGAAATTTTTAACCCAAATCCATCAAACTTTTCTACACAATCTCTAGCTAACAGGAAGAACCAGGTAATAGAAGAATGAGCTAGATGTCACTACAAGGAAGCAGCCAGGCAAATGCAAAAGCTGGAGATGTCTGCAGGAAAACTGGCCCAGTTTTTTCAACTTGCCACTGGAACAGAAAAAGACTGAACTCAGTAACACCCGAGGGACCAGACATACTGCAGACTGAAGCTGATTTGGAAGCCAATTAGAAAAGATATCTTTTAAGGTCATTTGAAAGAAAGATGAATGAGATTTTGAATGTCTATATAAAATATTACTAAACTGTAAAGCATAAATATCTGCTTTTAAAATACATTATAAATCGTGAGTCTGAGGCTACAGGTTTGAGTTCCAGGCCAGCCTGAAATACACAGTAACTCTTTTCTAATATTTTATCTGGTTTTGGTCTAAAGAAAAGTACAGTTACATTTATATGTGCTGAGAGGGTCCCTAACATTGACACTACATCTTTTCAGCGGTGATCTTCATCTAGAAGGTGGAAACATTATTTCATTTTTAAATTACCTGACTTGTATTTCTCATAGTTTTTCTCAATGCATATATACCATTTTTATAAGAAAAGGTTAGTTAAAAAAGAAAGAAAGCAAAATCTCTTGGGGCATTGTATTATCAGAGCCAAGTAAATGATAATGAGCTCAGAAAATGAAGCACTCACACTGTGCTAGAACAGTCATGGGCTCCTTCATGAAGGAGATGAACTGAGATGACCTTGGAAAATGGCTGAGTCTGGTCAGACAGAAACTGCCGACTCATCACCTCATCCATGGGTCTGAATGTGACAGGGCTGTGATGACAACAGCTTTGCAAGGCCGAAACATACCTGGGCTGAAAACCCAGAAGTTACTTTAATCCCCTTCCCCCATTTAGCAGAGCGTGGTATGACACATCTGTAATCACATATTCAGGAGGCTGAAGCAGGAAGAATAAGGCCAGCCTTGGCTACGCAAAAAAAAAAATTTTTTTTTTTTTTTTTTAGTTCTTTAAAAAAGATTTATTAATCAGGGCGACATAACAATAGATAAAGCACTAAACCAAAGGCCAGGGCATCCCTTCAAAAGTGAGCCCTGTGTGTAGGCAGCTTCTCTAGTTCCTTATCACCGAAAGCCACTCCTGGAGACCGGAGAGAGAATGTCTTTCTACAACCCCCTTCAACACTCAACCACCCTTATCACAGATTTCCCATCTGCATCTCTCTTCTGACAGAAGAGAACTCACTTTGGCCAAGAGAACTCCTGGAAAGGCCCTGAGCTCCAGACAAATCTCCACACCACCCCAGAGGAGGATGACTGGTCCAGAGTGGAGGCGACCCTAAAAGAAATTGAACCGAAACGCTTCATCCGTAAAGTCCGGGGTGGTCTTCGTTCTTTCTGCTGGACGAGGCCTGCAGACCCTTCCGTTCTTCTTTCTGGCGGCCTCACCCACAAGCTGGACCTGGGCTAAAAGGGGAGCGGCCTTTAGAGCTCGCTGGGCCTCCAGCCACTCCGCATCCATCTGAGCCCTGTAGTCCCCAAACAACGACCGCATCAGCTGTCTCTTCTGCGGCAAGGGAGTTTTTTCACTGCGCAAGGTTCGGATTGCCCCTAAAGCCTGCTCTTCCTGCTTCGGGGTGGGTTTCTGCCTCTTGAGACCCAGCTCCAGCTGGTTCCACACACCAGGCCAGCTCCCGAGCCAGCTGCTCTGCCTGGGCCTCAGCACTGGGGGGAGCTTCGTCTGGGGCCGGTTTCTCGGAGGTCTTTTGGTCTCCATTTGTTCCAGAGACCCTGTTCGGGGTTTTCTTCTTTTGCTTCATCGACGCTGTGTCGCCTACGGGGTGTGCCTTTGTGGCAGAGTCACATACAGGTTGCACTGAACTCAGAAGGGGAGGATCCGAGGAACTGGATGGGGGAGCCGGGTCATGCGGAGCGCGTTTACTTCTCCGGCCTGGGGCTGCTAGGGCCTCCGGGGCAGGGAGTCTTAGCTCCTGGAAAACGTGGGCCAGGGCGAAATTCACATGCCACCCCGTCCACCCACAGGGCCTCACTACAAACACGCCTCTTCCCACAGCTCACCGCCATCAAAAATCTCCCTTTTAGTCACAGCCAGCTGCTCCCTCTTTCTGACACCACAGAATTATGCCAAATCCATCATTAGTAGGGAAAAGGAGACAGACTGATTTTGGCCTCCGAAGACTCTTCCTGGCTTCTCAGAATGGAATGCTTCCTCTTTGAGAATGGAACGTTCTACCATAGGTGCGTGTGGAGTTCCAAGTACATGTAATGACCAGAGTGAAGGGAAGCTGTGACAGATGAGTTTTATTTTGGGGGTGTCAAGGCAGCAGGCATTCAATTGTCTTTTCAATTGAAATTTTCAATTTTCAAACACTGACTTTTACAACTTTCATAAATGTAGAAGTCCCTGTCTCCTCTCCCTCAGATCTAACGGGCATTTAATAAACCTCCATTATGTTGCTGGAAGACAGAGTAAAACATACAAACAAAAGGAAACCATAAACAAATGCTGAACTCCAACAAAATATACCCCGAGTATTTAGACACCAGGTCTTAGTCAAAAAGCCTACCCTGGGAAGTGTACCATGTCCTCAGTTCACATTGAAATGTATAAAAAAATAAGATGGAGGTGAGGATGACTATATGAATGGGAAGGTGAATTAATAATGACGGGATAGCTATAAAATATAGGAAGTAGGTATATGGTGTTCACTGAGTAATTCTTTTAAATTTAAAGTATGTCTGATTGTTTTCCTTGTTGAGATAGTTGCTAGCCCAGGCTGATTGTAAACTTCTGATTCTCCTGCCTTAGCCTTACAATGACTAGGATTATTCAAGTGTGCAACACCGACACAAGGCTTATTTGAGTATTTTAAGAATAAACTCAGGAGAAAATATATAAAGTTTTCTAGGTGGGCTTACCTACCAGTGTCCTGCCCCTCACCTTGTATTATGTCTGGTTTCTTAAGACTGAGTTCTATCCTTTTTTGTGCCAATAACATGTTGAAAACCTAGGCCAGATCTGGTTTCTGAATTTGGTCGGTTCCTCATGATGCCTTCTTGCCTGTAGCTGTAGCCTATCATTAACAAAAACCAAAACCAAAAAAGGTTAAATACAGAAGATTCTAAATTCAGGCTTGGAAATGTGTTTCGTGAGAGAAAATTTGAGATATATTTGAAAGCTCAAAGACTGTGAAACTCTCAGACCAAAATGAGCCTGGAGATAACTGTGACATCTGTTATATCCAGACTATGTTAAGAGTCCACTCACCCTAGGACATAGGAAAGACACAAAGAACTTGGGAGGAATGCAGGATTCATCTTAGGGAGAGGAGGAAGTAAGAGACGTGTCTGCTTCTGTAAATTAAGACCTCAATATAAGTGTAGGTGGGCCCGAGTCCTGGAAGCTGAAGCCCTGGTCCCACACACCCAGCTTTACAACACAGAAAAAGAGAGCAGTATTTACTTTTCTACCTCAGAGCCCTGTTCATAGAAACAGCAGCTTCGTAAATCTGTGAGCACAAAACTCCTGTGAGGAATGTTCCTTCTGTTGGTAATGAGTGATAGAAGCCTGTTCCACATCCCAAAATCAACCCATCCCTTCAGAAAGCACAACGGAGCATCATCAGCCCCTTTCTTGGGTTTATCTCACCCCTTTAAGAAAGGTTTGAAGCCAGGTGTGGTGGCACATGCCTTTAATCCCAGCACTCAGGGAGGCAGAGACAGGCAGATCTCTGAGAGGTTGAGGCTAGCTTGGTCTACAAAGCGAGTCCAGGACAGCCAGAGCTACACAGAGAAACCTTCTCTTGAACAACAGCACCCCTCCCCAAAAGAAGGGTTTGAGCCTTCTTCTCCTGTACTAACATTGACAATGAAAGGGTTAGGCTAACTTTAAAACCTATATGTCTTCTAAAGCCTATAGTTTTGAGTTTTAGGTCCAGGTTAAGCTAAAGCTTCTTAGTACCTTTCCAGAGAATGGAGGAATGTGACCCTATCTGTGAGGACAGATATAAAAAAAGGCAAGCAAGCAATAACCTTCACTCAGCAAAAGAAGGACCAAACCCTTGTCTTTGAGATAGCGTTTCTTAGCAACGAACCTAGACTTCTTCTGAGTAGCTTTTGACCTCCAGCCAAAAGTCTGCAGCTCCTAATCTTCAAGGATGAGCTAACGACCCCCACCTTCAATTGCAGCTGCATCCACACTTGGCAGGACTGGCCAAGCTTGAGCACCTAAGACTAACCAATTATCTTACTTTATAGCTTCCTCATCCAATCCTAAATTGCCAAGACTGCAACTTCAAATCTCCCGCAATTTTTCTTTTAAAAACCTAAAGGCCTTTGTCTCCCGGTGCCACTCTTTGCTGACCGGCAGGGGTGACCCCATTGTGCAATGGTTAATAAACCTCTTGCTTTTGCAACGAGTCTTGGTCTGGGGGAGTTTTTGGGAAGGGTGCGATCTTGAACTCCTGAGCTGTGAGACCCCAGGTCTCACAACAACAACCCACCCTCCCAACTTATTTTCAGTTCTGTCCACTTGGCATTCAGCTATTATTCCAGGAGTGTGTTCTAGCTCCTGCTGTTTTTTAAGAAATACAGCTAATAAGACAGTATTGTCTACTTGGAATTTTCTAAGAGGGCAGACTTTAAGTGTTCTTTGCTCATACCCGTAACACAAATGGTAGCTAAACGTGGTGATGAATGTGTTAACTTGATGGTGGTAATCATTTTATAATGTACACATATTAATTCAGTTTTCATGCTTAATTCTTTTCCATACAGCTTGGAAAAATATTCTCTCAGATTAGTGGGTACTGGAAACAAAAAATAATTCTGGGAAAATAAACACTGGCTTATAAAAGTTCTTTGTAAAGTAATAATATGCACTTTGAATCTCCAAGAGAGAGGCAGAATATTAAGTGTTTGCTGCATTCATTCAACCATAGGACCTCTTTTATTCTGAGACAATTTCTTTGGACAGATGCTAATAAAGGGCACTCTTTGAAAAAAGGTGCAACAAACAGTTTAACATTCTAAAAAGATCTGTCTTTTATGCATAACCCATTGATAGAAACCAAGTAAAAATGAAAAAGAACACTGAGTGTTCTGTAGAATGAAGCCAAAGGAACTTTATCCAATCTATTGAGGGTAAACCTTGGTGCTAACCCTCAGGCAGATTTACAGCTAATTTACAGCAAGTCACAGCACACAACAGAGCAATGCCCCGGGGCTTCCATGATACACTGTGTGTGTGTGTGTGTGTGTGTGTGTGTGTGTGTGTGTGTGTGTGTG